GTCGATGTTTGACGTCACACTGCGCTTGCCTTCGCGCTACTTCTCGCGGCATCTTCTAGCGAATGCACGAGCATTCTCGAGAATTCCGCGAAAGACGCGCGACGTGATTTTTGACTCGTAACTAGTTTGTACATTACACAATTGACCACAAAGTTCATTACGTTATGTACTATATCGTTACAAAAAATATAAATCGCAATATAAATTGAGCCTTAGCGTCGCGATCGTGTCACTGCAGCGGCGGCTGCATCGCATTAGCATCGATATTGTATCACTGCTTAAGTCCTGCGTGTGTGTAAAGATAAGACGATTAGACTGAATCGCTGCAGACGCGCTGTAAAAGCCGCCGTGTGTAACGCTCTAACGGTCAAACGAAGAATATTTTTCATATATTACGCGCGGTCACTACCGATAATCGTCACAGCAAACTCAAGGTAGTGGTACTGGATAAGGGAATAAACAAACAAACTAATTCAGACCTTATTCTGAATGGTCTAAGTACTACAATAAATGTAAAACCTGCCCTTATTGCTATAATAATATTTAGTGAAGTCAAAAAATCTGTTACAGTTGGAGAAATATAAGAAAACTTATTGTCTAAAACAGTATTGTCAGAATGGGGAGACGGAGGCAAAGCATAATCCCCGCTATTAAAAAAAACCATTACATAGCCGAAAATACAATAATTGTATGATGATTTTGTCTACAATATAATCATTTGTAAAATAAATCCGTGCGCTGTACACATGTGCCAAAAGTTCCTACCCTTCGCCGAATACAGCTGTCCAATAACAAAATAATCTCTAGTTGGACATTTCGAATTCGGTGACTGAACTTTCGGTAAATGTGACGATACACCAATGAATGATACCACAGCGGCCGATGCCGATGGTGCAATGATATGATTATCTCAACCTAAATTCAAACATCGCTTATGTGCTATGGCTCTTAAATATAATTTGAGAAAACAACTGTTAATTATTTTCACAATTAATCTGGTGCATTTTCATCTTGGGGCACTAACTGTAAATTTAAGCTCGGCGTCAATTCTGATGTGAAAATTTCATACTTTAAGCTCTCGCAATAACGTCCAAAAAGTAAAGGTTGAGTGTAATTAAAATAATAGCAGGGTTCGAAATTAATAAGTTATTTATTTTCTTTGATAATTATCATGATAATTATCTATGACGCAAACAACGAGAAAACTAATGAACACGAAGAAAAATCTCTGGAGAAACAATTTAGTTTCTAACTTTTTTTGACACGTTTGGATACGTTTTGGTAACAAACACGTAGCAAGAGGTTGCTAGCGAAAAATTTTTGTTGTTCCAATTCATTGTAGAAATATAAAATTAAATTATCAAAGAATATTTATCAAGATAATTATCGGGATAAAAATTATCAATAATAATTATCACGTCGAACCCCAAAAAATAGTAATGTATCAGACAACTACATAATTTATCAGGTTTCTAACTAGAGAATTCCCTGTACCATTAGTACAGTAAACTGGAGTAACGAAATTAGCTCCGGGTGCACTACCCAGAACACCCAGATCAGAACCGATTTAGAAAAGTTCGTTTTCCAAATTGATCATACCAGCTTCTGAAGCCTATAGTGCTAACTCCTAGGTCACTTAGGTCATCAAATGAAAACGACCTTCTATGGAAAACGTAATTTGCTATAGACTTAAAATTATTACCATTTTTAATCACAGAAATGTCAAGTGAACTTCGAAGATGAAGTTTAAGAAATGTACACAGCGAATTGACGCCGAAACGTTGTTAATCTTTCTGTCACTTAAACCAACAGATTGTTGGTTGATTTTTTTTCTATTACTTTGACCAATTCAAAAACTAACACTCCTAAGCAATATAACTTCTAGCTTTCTAATTAGGACGAATGGTGTGACCCTAGAATTTAACATTTGGTTGTAACATTGCCACGAACGGCCTAGGCGGGGCAAAGTTTAGCCACGTCTCATTTAATAAAGAAAAACGTAGAGATATAAGCTCGTCACATTCAAGAGCTGCAATAATATGAAATATAAAAGCATAGTGTCATAATTAGTGTTAGGATATTTGAATGCGTTTATACTTTAGTTCGCCATATCTCGCGAATTACTATCAATTGAAGTGTCTAGTGGTGCCAAATAGGCGTGGAAATATGGCAAATTTTATTTTAAGAACATTTATAGATACAACTGTGGACTGAAAACTCGTACACAAAACTAGTGGGAGAGAAAAGTCTCAGTAGTTCTGGGAAGAAAACTGTCTAATATCAACAGAACAAATGGGACGAAAGGTACCAGTAGTTCTGTCAACATAACTGTGCAACAGAACTAATTTAAATAAACGGAAATATGGAGGCTTTGCAAAATATATTCTTTCTTTTTTTAAAACCCGAGGTAGCGTGACATAAACCAAACTAATATTATAAATACGAAAGTAATTCTGGCGGTTACGTATGCACGCGTAAACCACAGAACCAATATTGATGAATTTTGATATAGAGATAGATGAGACCTAAGAGAAGGGCATAGGCTACTTTATTATATATATTAGTAGATTGTATGGAGAACCAATAAAAATTGAAAATTGGTACAGTATAGCAGACTATCCGAAGTACTTATTCGACGACGAAGTCGCGGGCACCTGCTAGAGTTTAATATTTTAAATATATAAGACAAATAATATATTTTGGGTCACTATAAATCTTATAGATTTGATGATGACCAGGAATATGACAACTGACGGTAGTGATGAAAGAGACTCAGTATTTTAAGGTGTTTTATAACGACTCGACTCCATTTTACAGGACTCGACTCTAAAATTAAGACTGTGGGTTCGAGTTTTTATTAATAAGACTCAGTCGTTATACTAAAAGACTCAAAATACTTAAATAACTTAAACGACTTGAAAGACTTGACTACGTCTCGAGTTCTTTGCAAAGGACTTATACCTATTTTATGTCTTATTAAACCCGAAGTTTATAAGTAAAAATGACGTAAGTAGTATGTAGTAAATAATCACGTTTATTGACTTACAATAAAAATCGCAAAATAAATACCTTGTGGGTAGAAATAAAATCACGCCATACGGCTCATGACTCGCGACTCCCGAGGCTATAAGGCGCCAGTCGTTTTAGTCCTATAAGTCTTTTAAGCTTCCTAGGGTTAAAAGACTTCGACTCGAATGAGTCTTCAGTTTTAGTCTTATAACTCAAGACTTGAGGGTTAAAAGACTAAACTAGTCGCGTGGCGTTGAAAATTAGTCGAGGTTTTTTAAAAGGCTTAAGGCCTTTTAAAGACTGAGTCTTTTTCATCACTAATTGAAGTAGCAGTGCTCCTAAGCAAATTCACTTTACGATTTAAAGCTCTGAGTGGCACTGCAACGGTTATGGACAAGCGTGTCGCTTACCACCAGGCGCACGATTTGTTTGTCTCGTCATTTGGTATTAAAAATAAAGAAAAAACTGGATCTCAGTGATGTGAACAGATAGAAGTGTCAACTTTAAAGTTAAACAAGTGTATGGTTTCAGCGTTCGTCCTTCAGCGCTGAAAGAAGAACAAATTATTAGCGGCGGAACGGAAGATACTTCGAAAAAGTCTTTGACCAATCAAAGAAGAATTTGGGAACTGGAGGGTCAGATTCAATAGAGAGATAGAAGAACTAGTGTCTGAACCGAACATAATCGGGGAAATAAAATCAGCTCGACTTCGCTGGCTAGGACATGTGGAAAGAATGGGAGAGGATCGAGCTGCCAAAAGAGCGTATTTGAGGCAACCTAAGGGTCATCGTCCAATGGGCCGTCCAAGATATCGCTGGAAGTATGAAGTCGCCAAAGACCTAAAGGTCTTTATAGGAACTGAATGTGTCTGAATGGTCGGAATTGGCAAGAGACCGACTGAAATGGCGTACTTTGGAGTCGGATCACGTCGTGCCAAGATCCACTTCGGGTCGCTGAGCCAGCGAAGTAAGTAATGCATATATAACATTTTTTTCTAGATATCCGCTGTCTTTACATTTTGATTTATTATACATATATATTTATAATATTTTAAATAATTATTTTTCTTTAAATTTTATAATCAACTGTAGAATCAAGAATTGTAGGTAAATAAGCATCTGATTATCCACTAGTCGTAACAATATTATTGTACATTAAACATGTATAGTTGCAGGTTTAAACAGAAAGCAGTACTAACAATTTAATGTTTAAAGCACTCGTGTGTGACGGGTTTATAATCCTAAAGTTTTGTCTCGAATCAGTACATTCATTGGACCAATACGTTGCTGTGATTTTATCACTTCTAGTTAAGTGATACTTTAGTTGCAACACCTATTTCTATTTTGCATGGTTTTTTAATAGCCCCTAGCGCAATTTATGATTAATAAACGTCTCATCTCTACAGACATGTCCATTCTGCTACCACAAAATTGTAAACTATTCTGACAGAAATAATGCTGTCCTTTTCACTCATCAATAGTTTCAAAGTGATAGCACTATATTTCTATATCAATTTGTACTTTACATTGAACGCAACAGAATTGATAGTCAAAATATGAGTTTATTCATTCAGATATATCCCATTTCGTCCTTGAACATAACGCGCCATATATCTAGGCAATCGAGTTATCAAGAATTGTCATCAAAAAATGCCAATAAAGTAAATCTTACATTCTATAACAAACAAATCCTTACTTTATTAATATTTTTTTGTCATTTCGTCTTTATATAATTTTTTTTAGAATTTTTGCTTTGCATTTATCCTAGAGTAGATTTATGGAACCTAAAATGTGTGTGACTTCTATTACATGACGCTTGAGAACTTAGACATGAAAGCCTTGGCAGTCTCTGCTAAGTTGTCAAGCAAAAACCTGCAGACAAAGTACAGGGCCGCACCTAGCTCATAAATACAAACTAACTTATACTTGCGTAAGTACTTAAAATTAAAAAAATACGCAGGCCACTGTACCTTGAGATAACAATAAAACATGAATACGCACAATACAACAGAAATATACCATTTTTGAAATTTACTAACAAATATGTAAGTAATTACGAAAATTATTGCCGACATTCGAGCACAGTGCATACAATGAGGTTCCCACTTCATTTGAATGACGATTCATTAGACTTTGAGATCTGTGTACTTGAGGCTCATTCGCATCACAAGGCAATAACCACTTAAACATGGAAGCATGGACAATCCCGCTATTCAACATAACAACTAAGACTTCTGAACATATTATTTATTGCATTCTGTTTCAATACTGCTGCGACATAGAGACACTTGAAATAAAGTCAAAATTTTGATCAAAGTGTACTTTTAAAGCTTTCTTAAGGAAAACTACTCATCAATTTCGCCGCTCATTACGATCAAATAGAATCACACAAAATTCGACTTTATAACTATTAATTAAGACTTTAGATGTATTGCAGTTAAACGTTAATTACAAGCGAAATATATTCATTGTTTTTAAGATGGCACCGTTGATGTTCCTATAAGGAATGTATAATAGTTGGCAGTGTTGCGTCTTACCTTTATATGATTGTTATAAGACACGATCTCCTCACATATTTCGAGCTCGCACTTTGAGCATAATTCTGACTTGCGCTTGTACTTCTGAAGGCATTCCGGGGTCTGTAGAAGGGCTCACGTCGCCTCACGTCGTCACTATACGTACACTTAGAATCTAGATAATTGCTAGCACGGCATCCGTGGATCCCGTGGCCGCAACCAGCGGCGGGGCGCGGCTCGAGGCGCGCGTCAGGCGGTCGCTGCTAGCAACGCTGGCTGACGTACTCGCCGTACGACGCCGACACCTCCTCGGACTGGTACCTCGTCAGCTTGATGCTCCGCCGCAGCTCAGTCGTGATGGCGGCCTTGTATCCGCCCTTGCGCAACAGCGAGTCGATCGTCTGGATTTGGTCCCAACCTGAAAACGCATCCGCGTCAAACTAACCGACACTGTTTAAATGGCAAAGGAGACACTTTTGCAAAAATGTGTGGAAGCCCTCGCACTGTAAGCAGACCTGTAAATAGACTAATATTACAGATTTCTGTGGACAAATCTAACAGAAAGATTCTGTTACACTTGTCCACAGAAATCTATAATAAGATTTCAAACACTACATACATACATTTGAAACTATCATATAGTTCACTGTAATTTACCAATCCAGACCTGTTGGCTTAGGCTTGCTATTAGCAAATAAATGAATATTGTTTTATTCCGGATGATTTAAATATTTGTAATTTACAAAATTAGTAACAACTGTATTTAAATAAATATTAGACAATACATAAGTTACTCTCCCAAAGTAACTAAAGAACTTAAGTTGTGGAAATCGGAAATAACGACGGTACCACAAACACTCAGACCCGAGACATTATATAAAAGTTAGTTTTTCTACATTGACGCGACCGACACCATGAGAACCGGTGTGTAAGCCACTCGACCACTGAAGTCGTCATCGTATTGGATCTATTTTGTAAATAATTCATACTACGCGTTATCAGGGACATTGGGTATTTGTACGGAAATAAAGAACAATGACTGTGTGTGAAAAATAACAAATATTAAAGTAATCATAAACATATGCATATCCACATAATAGAGCACGTGAAACAACATATAGAGCAAGTACTTTATATAATTGTGCTTGCTAGTATTGTATTTCTATACAAGGTTGTGACTATTTTTAACAGTGTTTCTGTGTTGTCTATTATATTCTTAGTTTGTTAGCAACAATAGTAATACCAAACAACACAGTTTGACATTATTCAAATATTATTATTGCATGCCATTTTACAATTATTCATTTCAAATTGACAAATCGCTATCACCATGTGCGTGTTTAAACTATTGACTCACTTATTAGACCCATGTGCACACGCCCATATGATATTAATTTTTTTTAAATGTTACACCTGGTGACACCAAGTTTAGTTTGCTGATTATTATTTTAAGTGGATGTGAATAAACATAAATACATTGGAAATTAAAACTATTTGTTTTTTCATACAAACCCACATTTCGAGTTGCGATCCTCTGTGGTCGGACCACCTGTAAGTACTCGGATGCAGTAGTACAAAATAATACGTACCGAAAGTATACTTTCCTAGACATACAACAAAATTAATAGTACCTCGATAGATTACGAAATGTTTAACCACTTAGGTGGTCCGGCCACAAAGCAGTACTCTCCCGCCGCGCCACCTTGGATTTAGGATCTATTATTTTGTACTACTGTATCCAAGTACTTATAGGTGGTCCGGCCACAGAGGATCACACCATTTCGAGCTTTTAATAGGTCCCATGGTCACGACTACCTACGCGATTTTTTTTAATAATATCAAGTGACGGGATGAACAAGTCATGTCTGGTGGTAAGCTACACGTCTGTCCATAACAGTTGCAGTGCCACTCAGAGCTTTAAATCGCAAAGACCTAAGGCGCGCTACACTGCGCCTGTCACCCTGAGACATAAGTTGACAAGTCCCATGTGTTTGTAATTTCACCAGCACCCATACCCTTCAAACCCTGCTGCTGCTCAATTACTGCTTGGTGGCAGAAATAGGTAACTATAAATAGGCTGCCCTGGACAAACTCTTTCACAAGGAGCTCTACTGCTACTAAGATGCAATTAGTGATCCGAAAAAATAGTTTCATATCCAATGTGTCGATATGATCAACATACAATGTACTTTAATATATTCTATGTCTAATGTTTGGCTGGACACAGTGAAACTATACTTGTTACTGTCAACTTCTTTACAACCTGTGTTACCACAAAGAGTTGTGAATTAGCAACGTAATGAGATATAATAGAATGTAGTAAGGAGTATTTTACCTTGCTCGGAGGCGACTTGAGGTAAATAAGTAGCAGTGCGCTTAGAGCCTCTTTCACTGATGAACTCGATGCGAATACCGTGTTTGCCGAGCTTCCAGTCGAGGTAATGCTCAGCCTCCTCGAAGTGCTGCAGGATTGACACTGAGACTGTCAATCGGGGGACTTCTTCCCGAGTGATGGGGGAAAAGCGGGAGTCCCGCAAGGCGCTTGTTATCGCATATTCACGGAGACCTATTAATTGAAATATTAAATGGTGGAAAATTAGTTATACTGACAACAGACCACAGTATTAAAAATACTGCTTCATGAGGACCGTCCGAATTACGGTTTGTACACACAAAAAAATGTATAGTCATCCAGTAACCAAGATCATCCTACATCAATACAAAGTGCCTACAAGTTTCTTAAAAGTTAATCAGGAGAGCCAGGAAGCATCAACAGCGGTATCAAATAGCATCTGTCCGGGTAACTTTCCCATTTCAATGATTTTATGTTACACAAGTTAAAGTAACTGTTTCACTAACATTTAATAGACTGATGTGGGCGGAAATATTATTATAACGCCAATAAAATAAGGTACGTGCACAGAAGTTACATTGATTTTCAGATTTCCACAGACAGTAATTCATTAGGTTATGTTTATACTAAGAGCTGAACATTAATAGACTAATGTGTTATAGCATAGGTTCTCAAACTTTTTTGCTCCCCGCCCACTTAGGCAAGATAAAAAATCTCAACATTCGCCGTAATAAAAAATGATTGAAAACACTTATCTGTTATATTAACTTAACACAAAAAACAAGGAAAAAATTTTTATAGTGCAGTTTACATAGATAATTCAAATTTTTTTTCCAATAACTTCTGAGACTATGGGTCGTATTCCAGAACTCTACTCAATGCTCAAATCAGGATTTGAGTATGATTTATAGCACTAGAAATTATACTCGTCTTTGCGTTTAGGGTCGTATTTCCAGTGCTTGAAATCATATTCAAATTCTGACTTGAGCAATGAGTAGAGTTCTGGAATATGACCCTAAGACTCTTCAGCGCCTACTGGGGGGGCAGTAGGGACTACTTTGGGAAACTATGTGTTATAGTATATTATAAATTTATTACTGATGATTATTTGACCAATTCTAGCTATAGAGTAATTTTATTATGTCTATCACAATATTAGCTTGGTAATTAGACATCTATGCATTTGCTTAGTATGTTGCACAGATAAGAATAAATATGCGTGATCATTAGATGTATAACAAACATACTATGTAATATTATTAACTGACTTATAATAATAGCAAGGTAATAGCAACTCATCCTTCTGTTGGCTTTAGAATTTGAAACCATTCCACAACTAAATTAACTGTAGACTGGGATTTAATAGCATGGCACACGAAATAGAATGTAATGTTTATTTTACCTGAATGCAAGTGCATCGCATTAAAAGTGCCAATGCAACCACGGAGACGGTGGTCCTTTCCAATCTTCCACGTCACAAACAGGGGACTGGAAACAATGTTACGTACCTATTAAGTATAAATTATGATTATTATAATCTGTAAAGTTTATTATTGGTAGGGTGGCTTTTGAGGGAATATGTAGCCCCATTCATTACAAGCAGTAAATTGATCTATTGACAAAACAATACAATTTTAGAGCCAAGACTTGCATTATTAAGGAATTGAAGTGTTTTCTTAGCTCCGTATGTTTTTACCTATAATAAATACTTACAGTTAGTTGTTAGACATTTTCTTATTATTATCTGCTGTCAGTAGAGAAACTAAAAGCAGGTCGCATTCAAACCTTTGTTTAAATTTTATTAGATAATTAAGAGCATTATTATGTAATCATTTGAGCCATATAATGTAGTTTTAAATAAAAAGTATGTGTTACGTAATGAATATTTACAAAGTTTACGTAATACACTTAATAAAATGAAAATAAAAATGTATGCTATATGTAGGTAGTTTGAAAAAAGAACTTGTTTCAGAATTTAAAGTACTCATAATATGTAACACACTCAAGTTACGTTAAAAAAAAAGGTAATTTAATTTTTGAGCAGTGCATTATTTAAAAATTCATTATTGATGTGGCATAAACAGGATCACTTACTCAGTGGGCACTGCATAATTATTACTTGTATCTCAAATAAATTAACACAGTTTTAACTGAACTTTCACCAGAAATACTGACTTTTAGTGATGTAAACATGTATATTTTACACGTCAAAAGAAAACTGCATGCTACATTTAAGGTCAGCGCATTGACCTGGTTTGGAACAAAAGATTTTGGGGGCAGTCAGGCCATAAAGCATTGGTCTTTGTGAGACTCAGTTTTAAGCTACTTTGCTACTTACTATGCATCGTTGGAGAAGTTTGGCGTCGACGGGGGGTCCATACTGTGCAGCTGACAATACAAAACATCGAAACAGAAGTAACACATATCAGGAATAGCCACTGATTCGTGATACCCGTTCATAGGTCGCTCGATACTATTGTTAAAGCTGTTATTCAGCTTCTGCTTCTTATTTCCACAACATACAGACGACATTGTGCTTGCTAATATGTCCTTACTTAATATAAATAGAACAACCACACAAATTCACAAAATTAATTAAAATACAAACACTCCTCTTACAGATTTTCACGCTAGGCGAAAAAGTGTGTTTGTGTGAGTTATTTTGTGTGCGTCTTCGTGACATTTGTGTTTTTTTTTTGTGGCCTGGTTATAAAGACATTAAGCCAATTGTTTTTCATTTCTTCAGTTGATGACATTTAAAGAGAATCCTTATGATGACTACAAGAACTTATGAAAAGTCAGTCAATGGGCGGGAGAAATCAAAAGATATACATACACTTCACGCCCTTTTCCTATCGGGGTACGCAGAGGCCACGGCCAACCGTAGCATTTACCATTAACATACAACATCACAATTTGCTGGTATATTGTGAACGTGAGTTATTAAGAAGTTTAACAATCATTACATATTATATCAATGATATTTGATCAAATATAGTTTGAGAGCATTATAATAATAATTTTAATAACAGATGATAATTTTTCGTTTGTATCAAATTGCAGTGCTGCTTATTGCGGTCTATTAATTTATTGCATGGAATAGATTCCTTAACGCATTCACTTCCGGCAATGCAAATGATTATTATGCGTTCACCTGACTTTCACTTAGTGCTTTGCGTTGCTGTGAGTTCATACATTTCAAAACAACGCATGCAACAATGCCGACAGTGAATGCCTATAAAAGTAGATCACGAACGACTGTCCCCACAAACAACTGTCAACACATTTTTGTCTGATAATTTACCTTACTAAGGGTCGTGTACCATAACTATACCTACTCAATGCTCAAGTCAGGACTTGAGTATGATTTAGTATAGGATCTACGAGCTCATATTGTAATACGGGTTATTCCCATAAGGGGCAGTAATGCTTCCGTTGTTTCAAAAGCATTTATTTTTCAAAAAGATATACTCAACGGACTTTGGTATGAACATACAATGAAGTAAAACTTGAAAGTTGTGAGTAAGAGTCGACGTGAAAGTAAATATTGGACATAATTATCACTCTGTCACCTCTATAAAATCGTGTAATATAAGAGTGTGCAAACGGAATAAATGATGCCAAGCACCAGTGTGCGATTTTACTGTTGAATGTACCTATATTGTTCGAAAAAAATGCTATTCAAACAACAGTCACTACTGTGATGGCGGTGACCTTGCGGATCACCAATGCTGACGTTAATTGAGATTACCTATACAATTTGAATAAACTAGGCTATTATTTATGTCATATAAAAATTGTCTGGTTCTCAATCCCAGAAAATAACAAATGTTGGTTTTGGGGATTAAAACACAAATAAAACCAATCTTAGACTAAGGTTTTTATTAGACAATAAGTTGAAATATACAGGTAAGGCACAACAAACACATAAATACTAGAAAATAAAAGTAGGATTAAATTATATTAATAAAATTGTGTTCCCGCGGCAAGGTACCCACGACACTGGCAGCGTTCCCCCTTTGTATGGCTATTAATGCGTTGGGTAAGCTAGCTGAGTTGGGTAAGCCGGCCTTTGGGTTTACCAGACAGTCTTTTAGGGTCGTATTCCAGAACTCTACTCAATGCTCAAGTCAGGACTTAAATATTGCAGTGAGCACTGAAAATCATACTCAAGTCCTTGCCATTAGGGTCGTATTTCCAGTGCTTGAAATCATACTCAATTCTACTCGGGTCAGGATTGCACTGGAAATACGACCCTAATGGCAGGGACTTAAGTATGATTTCGAGTGCTTTAAATCATAATACAACATAGAATACGACCCTGGGTCGGGGTCGTATTCTAGAATTCAACTCAACGCTCAAGTTAGGATTTGAGCATGGTTTAAAGCACTCGAAATCATAATCTAGTCCCTTCTATTAGGGTCGTATTTCCAGTGCTTGAAATCATACTCAAGTCTGCTCAAATCCTGACTTGAGCATTGAGTAGAGTTCTGGAATACGACCCTAAAGGAAATATGTCGAGTTTTAGGTTTTTACACTATGCTACTGCAAAGTGTAAAAACTTTAAACTCGACATATTTCCTTGTAACTTGAGTCACTAAAAGAAGTTGTGACGAAAGCCTCGCAGAATTTACGCTTCAGTGTTGTCTGAGAAATTATGCCATGAAATTACTATATAATCATGAAATAGAAGTGCATTTTGGTGAATATTAGCGCCCATACAAACAAAGAGAAAGTTTCGCGCGGTCGAACAGCGAAATCTGCGGCGGCCGCCGCCGCCCAGCGACCGCGTGCACGTGTTCAGAGACCGAACTGTTATGGAAAAATACGCTCTATTTATTTGGCTTTTAGCTGGAAGGCACTAGCTTGTCTTTTGTCTACGCGGTCGCCGAACGGAGTCCGCTGTTCTATCGCGCGACGGCCGCCGCGGACTCCGCTCTTCGACCGCGCGGGGTGAGCACGATGAAATTCATGTCGTATAAACGCGCCCTTTATACGACACGTTTAATTTAAGGCTTGTCTACCGATAGCTTTGGCTACATACTTTACATGTCTTCAAAGAGTTCTTTGCACTTATTCCGACATGCGTAAATCACACCGTTTGTTTCAACCGGATAAGTAAATGAAAATTAATTAACTGTACGGTACAAAGGATTGAGTGATGCAGGCAGATTTCCAACATAACATGGGATCCTAACGTCCTCCCGAAATTATGCAACCATTATTTCACAAATGATTGTCTATGTTGACAAATATTTCTAATGATAGCATTGACTTACAATTATATGGTCGTCGGGTCCGCGCTAAAAAGTGTCCAAACTTTTAGGGCGTTAAAATCGTATACAGAGCGTCATTCACGCTTTAGTCTTCGTTTGTTCGACTGACAGCGAAGCAAGCAAAATTAGACAGTACTGCGATGACATTACAATTTAAATTCAACGTTTTAGCTATTTCATATTCCTTTACATGTCACTACGTTTAAATAGGTTGACTTGGGACATTTTTTTCGTGGTTTTTGTATTAGACCCGTCGTACATTTATTTGTAAGTCAATGAATGACAGTGTTGATTTTTGTACGTCCAGCCCACCTGCGTAGGTACCTATTGTCGTCTATGCTTAATTATGTGTACAGCAAAACACTGGAAACCTTAGAGGATGGAAAAAAAAATAAAAGAAAGGAGCTGCCCTAACTACAGAATCAACGTGCATATAACCAAAATTTGAAAGTTACAAATGGCGGATTTCTTTAGTGTTGTACCATAATTTATCGATAAGTCATTATCGACATGCAAATATATGGCTTGAATGTTGAAACTGTTTTTTTTTGTTTCTTTAGTTTACTGTAACCAAAGTATGCCTAAATAAACACAAGTCTAATAATGTAATCTCAAGTGGTATATTATTATAAATGTCAACACACATTTTTAAACTTTAAAAAAAATATATTTTCAAGATTACAACTGGTAACTTATTTAGTAAAAGTCACCAAACTGCTGTGCAGTTTGTTGGCGACATGCGCATTCTTACTTAATTATACCTACTTTAACATTACATAGTTATTAATTGTACTTACTAAATAAAATATAAAAATTACTTTAAGAGGTACACCTTTAACCTACATTTTAGTACATATTTACATAACGTCTTTTAACTAACTGTCAAGTACAAGTCTATTCAGGTTTCTGCGGATTCTAGTATTCACGTTACTGGCTTTCTTAAGCAAATCAATCTATCAAGCAATTTTAACTGGTAACTTATTTAGTAATAGTCACCAAACTGTTGTGCAGTTTGTTGGCGACATGCGCACTCTTACTTTTTTTTTAACGCACACACTGAACATTGCCCTACCTATACCTACTTTACTGGTATATAACATAACATAGTATTAATTGTACTTACTAAATAAAATATAAAAGTTACTTTAAGAGGTACGCCTTTAACCTACATTTTAGTACATATTTACTAACGTCTAACGTCTAACGTCTTTTAACTAACTGTCAAATACAAGTCTATTCAGGTTTCTGCGGATTCTAGTATTCCCCTTAATTCCCGGGCTTTCTTAAGCAAACGAATCTATCAAGCAATTTTAACACAGAAATAATGGAAGTAGTTATAAAAATCAATTATCGGATATCAACAATTATCATGTACTAGCTTTTCCCCACGACTTCGTCCGCGTACAATTTTTATACAAATGAAAAATATTCAAGTATGAAGCAAATCGCACCACGCGTTAAAAAGTTACCATACAAACTTTATTACCCCATTTCGCCGCATTTTTGAAAAACTATCATGCCATTTTATTGTAAAATATTTATGCATAGTTTTGTCTTTGTAATTTCAAGGAATATTATTTTTCATGCAAACATTTTTATCCGTTTTCGCCCTCTTAGGGGATGAATTTTGAAAAATCCGTTCTTAGTACTCCTTCACTAAATAAAATTAACATACCCTCAAGTTATCATGTTCTAGTACTTACAGTTTTTGCTATGCGTCCATCTACCAGCGAATTGCTCTGGACCGTACTCCTTAAATATGTGTACATATAGATTTACAAAAACCAAATTATTTTAAAATTTGGCAAGATTTATAAATAAACTACTTAAATAAGTCTGATTACATGAAATATTTGGGCTATTGTGTGATTTATAGACAAAAAAATAACACATGCCTGTGCAATGTAACATTCGATTGATTTGCACTTTTTCTAAAGCCACATCCTTTAATGCTGCAGCGTCGCATTTTTATTAATACCTAATTATTCTCACTGTCAATATTTTTGTCCAATTTAATTATGATACATGCGAATAATTCAATAGTACATTTGGAAAAACATTTGTTTTGACATTTAATTTACTTCCCTTTGAGAACGGTATCATGTACCTCATGTACTGCGAAATGGACACGGTTGGCATTTAAGATGACGTTACGTATTTTCGATTCCCGTGTTTGACACAGACCAACGTAATGCTATCTCTTTTGGCTTAAGACGGTACGTAATAGTTAAAAGACAATAGCATGTTTATGTTTTCGACGTCGAAATGCATCATATATGTACATATATAACGTCTGATGACAAGTAATGTTGAGTAGAGTTTTGGAATACGACCCTCAATGCTCAAGTCAGGATTTGAGCAGACTTGAGTATGATTTCAAGCTCTGGAAATACGACCCTAATGGCAAGGACTTGAGTATGATTTCCAGTGCTTGAAATCATACTCAAGTCCTGACTTGAGCATTGAGCAGAGTACGAATACGACCCATACAGTATGAATATTTTCTTTTGGACGACACAAGAGAACTAGAGAAAATACTATAACTATCATAATTTCCAAAAATAATTGAGTTTAATAATTAATTTCAGTAAAATAAAAGATGCTTATTTTGTGAGTGTACAATAAAGTGCGCTTATTTTCTTCATTATTTTTACAAGATGAATGATTCCTAGGCTTCGACAATAGTCGCACGCACAGTAATTAAAAAAGCAAACATTGTCTATGGTGGCGATGGCTGTCATTTGTCGAGTTTTATTTTATTGTAGAAAATAAGGAAATAACTTTTCAATGCTTGTATAATGAAGATATTTTCGTGAATCATGTACATGTTTTACAATTTTCCAATAGTTCTAAGTGTAAAAATCCTATGCCGATAATGTCGGCGCCGTAATAATGTATAGTAAAAAAGCTTAGTAAGTTTCGACGATGGCGTCGGACGGTGAAATTTGTTGTACGAATGATCCTAATTTCGCTGTTATTTACTCGTTTTTAAAAGTATTTGGTAAACTGTATGCTTTAGAGGTGCCTACGATAGCGAAATTGCAGGAGCTGATAGAGAATACACAGGAAGGTATGCTTCTGTGCACGTAATATCGTGTAAAAGTATAAACAAACAGGCTTATGCTATATTGCTTGTGTGTTTTAGTGTTGGATCCGCTGAAGGAGCTGCACTTACGGCTGCTACGACGGGCGCTGAAGTCTGTGCAGAGCAATCGATGGGAAAGATGTTTGATCAAATTCTGCCATCAGCAGGGTCACCACCAGGAAGCCTGGGAAATAGAGAGGTTTTCGTACAAGAAAGCTAACACACAAATCAAACTAAAGGTGTTAAAGGTAATGTTAAGTTTGCTGTTAACAGATATGTTACTTTCTTGTGATGTTCTTAGTAAAAATGTGTATTCAAGCACATAGTTTCATGAAATGAGATGCTATATGTAGGGTAAAGAGTATAAAATTTTATTAATTTTATTTCTCCACATTCATATAATTTATACTTATTCTAAAGACCTTGTCAATTTAGGCGTCAGGTTATTGGCAATGCAACACTCTTTTCAATTACATATAATGTATATTATGTTAATTCTTCTATAATTAAGTTACATTAAATACTAGCTAATATTCTAAACTTAAACGGTCTTTGCTAAATAATACTATTTCTGATCATTATAAATGTACACTGTAACATTTCATCATTTAGCAATATATCTTTAATTTTTTTTGAAAAGTTTTTTGCTTACTTTCTTACTTTCCCTGAGCCAGTCTATTTTATTGTATATTTTTGGTATTACATACTTATCAGGTCTTTTTCCATAATTATTGTTAACTTTACATGTCTTTAATTTCCTTTTTCTGTTGTGTTGTACTTCTTATACACTAATAATTTATCCTCACTCTTACAATAATTTTCAACGGCTACTGCAAATTTTACTTTTTTATCAACTGGCAAAATTTTACATAATATGTATTAACTGCCTCGGTGGCCGAACGGTTACCATGCCGGACTGCCACGCATAGGTCCCAGGTTCGATTCCCGGGCCGGGAGAAATAGTTGTATGGCCTACAATTATTTCTCTCGTGAGTTTGGGTGTAATTTGTGGTTGTCTATGTGTGTGTCCGTGGCACCCGCGACACAGGGTTTCCCTAGTGCGGGGCTATGTTGAGTGTGAGCGTTATTTATTATTATTATTATGTATGTAAAATATTATTTTACATAATATCTGACTTCAAAAAAAGAAGGAGGTATTCAGTTCGACTGTTTGTTTTTTTAATGTATGTTATGTGATAACTCCGATGTATAAATGTGGTACGGTGTTTGATGAACTGATTTTGATGATTCTTTTTTGTTGGAAAGAGGGTACTTCAGATGTGGTCCCATTTAAATTTGAATTAAATTTTAAAAAATATTCCTCCGCTAAGGGTGGCAAACTTGGAATGGAATGGATGAATGACTTTTGAGGTCGGTTTTTTTAGTCTGTACTGCTTTTATTGTTTCATAATCATCGTTATAGTTTTTCTTAGTGTTTTGAAATACATACTTTGTTATGCAATAAACCACAAAAAATAAGGTATAGTTTGAGATTTTTTTAAATTCATAATAACGACACATCCGAAGAACAGAGTCCGATGTGATTATATAGCGAAAAAAGAATAAGTACGTTAAGAGAATAATTTCGTTATTCAAACTAAGGCCTACTGTAAGGTGTTTAGAGAATTTATATATCTTATTTCGTTTCGGAAATATAATATCGAACAACACTCAATCTGACATCCAGAGCGAAGAAGAACGACCGAAACATACTATGTCCTGAGAACAAGTAGTCTTACACATAGATCTTTGTTCTACGGATGAGTCGATAATGTTTTATATCAAAGTTTGATAATGTAACTTCATTTATTTATATTGGACCCTGACAATTTCAAATAAATGGGGGCTCTTAGAATATACAACTGTGCTATGAAGTGGAATGTGGACACTTTTCTTTTGGCATTATCACCAGGAATAAAATCCAAAAGTTTTGACATTATTGCAATAATTTATTTACATCAGGTGCTGTTAGAATACCAGTTCACGTGTCATGGAAAATTCAAGAATGCAGTAAATGCAATACCATGCCCTGAGCTTCGTCTTGAGCCAATTGGACGAGACCGTGCAGGCCGTGTGTACTGGCTTCAGCTTGACCATGATGCTAATCTTAGGCTTTATCGTGAAGACCAGGATGAGGAGACTTGGGATCTTATTGCCAGGTATAAATTGAAGCTTTGTCTATACACTATAATAATTGTGATCACTATAAATAAACTGCTGGTTGCAAAGATGAGTGGCTGCGAGATCTGCCAAAGTCTGTACTCAGGATTAAGTATCTTAATAAAACTATTGTGCCAGTTGTTTTAAGCTCATTTCAAAAATTTGGTACTTCATATGGAGTATTTATCTTTTTGTCTCTTTTCTGTGTCTCACATTCTAATTACACTTAATTTACAGCAATAGAGAAGAACTGGTAAGAGTGATAGGGCAATTAAAAAGTGGCAATGAGATATGTCCTTCAACTGTCAACAATGCAAATGAAGATTCAAGTAGTACTGATATACCCTCACAGGTTGAACAAACGGAAGTAACTCAGGTAAGATATTATTAATCACAAGGGATATACTAGAAATGAAATTAAAAGTGTAAATTCATCATTTGGTCTTTTTACACTGTACAGTTCCTAATAGACAATATATCTACAATAATAATTACTTAGTTCAGTGATCTCAAGAGGTTTTTGGTTCTCAACACCTAAACTTAGCACTCAGTTATATTTAACATTGCATACAGCTATGTCGAAAAGTCCCTTTTTTCTTTTGGACATGTTAAAAATCAAGTTTGTATACATTTTAAGATTATCAATGTGATTCTTGCAGCCAAATAAAGTTGAAGCAGAAGAAGAAGATGAATTTTTAAGTCCAGAATCTGAATCAGAGCATGATGATGACATTCAGAAACTTAGCAATGCCGCAAAAGATAGCAAGCAACAAGAACAATCCACAGAAGAAATTGAACAGAGCAATGAAACACAAGAGAAAGAATCAAGTATTATAACACCAGAAATTCCTGTAGAAACTCCATCAGAGAATGCTGAAATACAAACCAAAAGTGATGCAGAAAATGATAGTGACACTGAAACTCCATCAACAAATAACGAAGCTACTACACCTTTAGAAGAAACTGTATCTCTAAATGATCCAGAGGTAAAAGACTCTGCATCCCCTAAACCAATATCTCAGTGCAGTGAAAACGATAAAATGGCTGATCCCAACAGCAAACAAGAAACCCCTGAAGATGAACCAAGGAGTCCTTTAAAAGAACTTGAAGAGAAATCTACTGCAGAAAATGTTATAGAACCTCAAGAAATGGTTAGTGAAGCAATAGAAGAACCTGTGATGTTGATAACAGGTGAAGGTAATGGTGCAGATTGCGAAAGCTCCTATTTTATTGGAGAAGAGATCTCAGAACCTGTTATGTATTTTTTCGGTGAGGGTTACGGTTTCGACAACGATACCGGGAATCCAGAAGCCATTGAAAAAGAAAACGATGCACAAAAATCAGATGACGATGGCAGTGACGAATGCATAAACGGCGAAAATCACGAAGTATCAAATTCAAGTATAAGTAAGTCTCCAAAAAGTGTGAAATTAAAAAGCAAAGTTCCTGCTGTAACTAAACGGTCTCTCAAAAAACAATCAACAGATCCCTCAGAAGCACTAAAACCGGATGGTAAGAAACCGTGTGTGCGAAATTTGGACAAATCTGATGGCTCTAATTCAAATTCTAAGGGTGTGGAAAGAGATCTAAAAAGAGAAAGTAGTGTAAATGATAAATCAACGACAGACAGTGAGAGTTCGAATAAGAATAACGTAAAGAAGAATAGAAGTAAAGTTAAAAAGAAACCTGCAGTTGCAAGGAAATTGAAAGTGAAGAATCCGAAGAATGTTACGAACTCTGTGGCAGAACCTGACAATGGGCATGATAGTAAAACAAGTATTATTGAGAAGAGGAAAAGTAGCTTATCTTCAGAGGACCAAGAGGAGGAGATCACGGAAAATGAGAAAGAGAAAAGTCCTGACAAGGATTTAAAAGGCGAGGATACCTTACCTCCGAAAAAATTGCGCTTGGAGACTACGCCAGAGAGTGATGCGGTATCACAGTCCAAGGAAACTGTAGATACTGATATAAACAACAGTGATGATAAAAAACAAACTCAGAGTGCCGAAAAGAAAGAAATTGATAGCGCAGAAAAGAATGATAATCAAAAACCTGAAAGCAATTCGATATCACAAAGGAAGAAGATTAAAGCAAGCAAAGGGAAATTTAAAAGAAAAAGAGTAGAGAAAATAAAACAGGGGGAAAATGACAATGAAGAAAGTGATTTGAAAGCAACAAAAAGCAAAAGTAAAGCAGTTAAGCGGTCGCTATTGGATGCAACGATGAGTGACAAAAGTAAATCAGAATCTCAGAGTGACAGTGAGGAGGATGAGCCTGCTTTGCGCGGCAAGCGGCTCAAGATCAAACCTAAGAAGATTGTCAAGACTTCAAGGTAAGAAATTGTTACTCTACTGGTTTCATACTGCAAGGCTGCAATTGAGGTTCGAATACCTAGTGCGGCATATATCTAAGCGTTAATTTCTAAGTTAGTACATTTGTGAATATCTGGTAGCAATACCTGTCGCTAGCGGTGAAGGAAAACTTCATGATGCAACCAGCATGTTGAAGAAGATTCACAACCCTTAGAGAATGTGTGTACTCCACTAATAATTGTTCAGCAATTGGTCAGCGTGGCGCACTATGGCCTAAATCATCGCCCTAGTCAATTAGACACATTATCAACCAATAAAATAATTTTATTGCAGGAAAAAAGTGGAAGCAAAATTAAAAGAAACCCACTCCAGTGATGAATCTGAAGAGGAGACGTTGTACAGCATAGGTATTTTGAATTTTGACATGTTTTATCAGGTTTTTGACACACACACAGTGCACAGACACCATTTGAACTCATGCACCATTAATTAATAAAAATGGAAGTATCTTATTTTGCTACGCTTTGAACCCAGTGAAGGTTACATTGTGAAAAATTGCTTCACTTGTGGGCACGTTGTCATTATCGTCTAGCCTGTTGCCATATCACGACTATCTGTCGTGACTGTGTCGTGGACGTTTATTTTACCGTTGAACGACTGTCGTGTTCAGTTGTTCCTACTAAATTGTGACGACAATTTATCGGTTCACGGCAGCCTTCTTGTCGTTTACACGACACAAACGTGCGGAAAAAGCTGCGGTTATCTGTCGTCACATTTTTATCGTGACTTTTTATTTATCGTTTGACGACTGCCGTTCTAATACTTCCCATCGTCAGGACAATCTGTCGTCGTAACGTCAAAGAAGTCGTGAATGACAGTCGTGTTGTACTATATGTGAACAACTGCATTTAAATATACAAGGTACGACACTTTAAACAGCATGACTATCTGTCGTGACGACATAATGAGAACGCGCCCTGTGTTGAATATTTTTTCATGCAGTAAATTTTTCCACCCTCCCTTTTCATAGAATAAATAACACAAACGCAACTGCAATCACAAACACCACGCCCAAAAATATATTCGACACATGTTTCCCCTCTTTACTAAATATGACAATACTGTCTACTGTAACTGCCTCCGTGGCCGAACGGTTACCATGCCGGACTGCCACGCAGAGGTCCCAGGTTCGATTCCCGGGCCGGGAGAAATACTTGTATGGCCTACATTTATTTCTCTCGTGAGTTTGGGTGTAATTTGTGGTTGTCTATGTGTGTGTCCATGGCACCCGCGACACAGGGTTTCCCCAGTGCGGGGCCATGTTGATTGTGAGCGTTATTATTATTATTATTATTATTATTATTATTACTGTTATATTCTCAAGCTCACGATCTTGTGATACTAATAAATGGCACGAAATGCGAAATAGTTGATGCGTGCGAAGTTATAGCGTCTACGCTCTACCTGCAGAACAGGCTAAGGGATTTTTTAATGGCCAGAAAAAAAAAAAAAGGCTTGTTAGTTTACCACAGACGTTTGCGTAAATAAAGTTTAATTTATGTTGTAACTATTAACTAAAAATAGCTATAAGATAAATCAATGAGCTTCCCGTCATACTTTAACAGGCTTAGGGCTGCCTGTAAATGGTCTAATTTAATTTACTTTATATAAATCTGTGTCACGTTGCTAATATAAGTTACCTGCGCATTTCGAACTTCATTGATTACATTTAATTGGTAACTATGGTTATTTACACTTTCATAATTATTACTCCTATCCTACTATTATTTTCAAATACCTATTATTATTATTATTATTATTATTATCCCAACAAACGCACGTTAATTGAATAAAACGCACTTAAATTATATTTTGCGAATTGTAATAAAAAAAGCAATAGAATATCAAGCGTGAAATGTAGCATCAATAAACTATTTCGCGTTTAGCACCAAATGTACTTTACAAGTACTACAACATTTAACGTTTGAAAGGTCAATGTTTAAAAGGATTACAAGCTATATTTTAATCAATGACCACGCTGTAATTATTTTCATATAGAAGACAGTGCCAACTATCAAATTTTAAGTGAGATAGCTAAGGATAAATATGGATTACTTTGCTTGCTTGCTATGCTACGATAGCGATCAACGCATTGCAACGTTATAAAGTTATGTCGCTGGTTTCAATTTACTATCGATACCCCAATCCCAAGTAAAAGAAAAGTATGTTAAAATTTTAGCAGCTTTATTTCTTTTATTTTTATTTTTCAATTTAACGTTATAATTTGAGCTATATATTATATTAACCATTTCTACTCTTTACGACGCATTTCCAAGACTTGTTGATGGCTCAAGACAAGCGTCGAATATACACCATTGTTCATGTGCTACCATGAAATTTTTTTATTTAAAATAGACGCCTCCACCCGACAATAGGCGGTAATGTGACCGACGACGATACGCGTTTATTCATAAGTAAATACTTCAATAGCTCCTCGAATCGTAGTAAAAAAAATCTTTATTTCGAAGGTAAGCAAAAAAACTATAATGAAACAAAAACTTTACTCTAAAGGTTTTATCTATGAAGTGATGATCGTTTTTTGTTTCGATCTATGATATTTGAAATAAGTATGATGAACGTGTACAACTGTGTATTCACAAAGAGCAACGTCTAAAGTTTACTACTCATTCTTAGGCCGTGTTCCCATTAAATCGTAACGTTTGATTTATTCTAACCTGTTCCCATATCACGACTATCTGTCGTGACTGTGTCGTGGACGTTTATTTTATCGTTAAACAATTGTCATGTCCAGCTGTTTCCACTAGATCGTGACGACAATTTATCGGTCCACGGCAGCGGCTTAGTCGTTTGCACGACAGAATCTCAATTTCATTTAAATATACAACCCACGACACTTTAAACTGCACGACTATCTGTCGTCACGACATAATGGCAACGCGTTAGAACTGCCATCGTCGGTGTTTTGTAAAAAGGGTGTAATCGACATTTCGTAGTTATGAGAGCGCTTACGGGGAAAAAATACATTGTGATTAAATCTACAAGAAAAATGAAGAAAATTTTTGGACCACGTGGTTGTATTCCCCAGACCACTTTGTCATAACCCGTGACCAAGTGTGGGACATAATTAGTTGATGAATTTGATATACTCCTAGTGTTATGTTTTTATAAATACAATACACACGTTTTTTTTGTTTTGTACTTATATAAAAAAAATGTTTTAAAAACAGCAGGTAAGAAGAGTAAGAAAGTCAAACGCAAGCCAAAATCGAAGCCTCAGAAATCAGCAACTCCTGTGACGACTGCAGCGGGTGCGGCAGGCTCCGGGTCGGAGGACGCGACTCCCGTGCGACATTCGCGTCGCATCGCGCAAATGAAGATAAGGGAAGAGGCCGAACGGAGGCATTTGGAAGAGGTGGCCTTGAGAGAGATGAAAGCTATACACAAGAAGAAGGTACTATACAATAGTTTGTACAACCTTTAACGCAAATCCGTGCAATCAACTTTGCTTGCCACCAACTGTAGCAATACTAGCCGAACGAGGTACGGCCTGCGTACATGAAACGCATCATTACGACCTCAGTGGCTCAACGGTTTGCATTGTGGGCTAGATGCGGAGGTCCCGGGTTCGATTCCCAGTAGGATCAATCTGAGAAATGATCTTTTCCTTAATTGTTTTGTTTTTGTGATACCAAATAAAAAAATATTAAGTGACGAGTATGGTGCGTGATGGTAAGCTACACGCCTGTCTATAACAGCACTGCCACTGCGCTCGTCACCCTGAGACATGAGTTGATAAGTTCCATGTGCCTGTAATTTCAAAACCGGAACACAGTAATGATGACATTACTACTTGGCGGCAGAAATAGGGAAGGTGGCAGTACTTCCTTGGACGAACTCTTTCATAAGGAGCTGTACTGCTACTAGTAATAAATGCTAAATAGTTAAGGTCAAGAGTCGATGTGCCTACTAAAGCCTGACACACAGAGCGAATCGGATGCGCGATGGGCGCACGCCCAATATGTTGTCGTCCATGTAAATACACGGAATTAGACCCGCCCCGCACCCGACCCGCACCCGACCCACACCGGACCCGCGCCCGCTCTCTGTGTATTTCACGCTTAATGATGGTGCGGGTGCAGAGTGCGGAGTCGGAAGAGGAGTGGCAGGCGAGCGACGGCAGCAGCAGCGGCTCGCGGGCGCGTAAGGGCGGGCAGCGGCGCGGCGCCGCGCGCTGGCGTCCTTCCACCTCCACGGGGCCCGAACCCGACTCCGACTCCGACGAGCCGCTCTTCGACCACCACGAGCCCCACGAGCCCGACCGTAAGTACTACGTGCGCAGTGGGACAGGAAACACTACAGGTGTTATACACTATTACTCTATACTAAAATAAATAAATAACGCACACACTCATAGTACCGCACTAGGGAAACCATGTGTACGGATGCCATGGACAATGGCATGGATACTGTGGCGGGAAACGCCGGTATGCGCCTGAGTCCACCGATACATCCGAGCAACTGCGGCATGTCGGTGATCGGAATTTAGCTAAACTAAAGAATAATGTAGACATTCCCTTCTACAAATTTCGGGAATTCTCGGAATTTATTATATTTCCATATGCGTATTATTTATTTATTATGCGTATTAGTTATTTTATTATTTTATTATATTATTTGAGTACATCGGCGACACATTATTATTTCCTATTAAGTTTTTGTTGCAAACTATTGTCTCAAAAAATAATAAGTATAAAGTTGTGTCTCTGTAGGCACTTACGTATTTAAATACTTTAGTCATTTAAAAGACAAACATAAGACAACCTATTTTCGGGAATGTTTACAAAATAAATAGTTAAAAAATTAATTTTATATGCAATGATAACGAAATGGGTATGTCCATACTAAGAAAACGTTCATACTTTAGGTAAATGAACTCCCCCAATTCCGATCACTGCTTATCAGTGTGCGCTGTTCTCCCCCGCCGTTGTCCGCTTTGCACTGTCCCTAATAGGTTATACTGCAAAAGGACGTGGACGTTGCTGCAACGTCTTGCACCATAAAATCGGTAGAGGTAGTGCGTCCCACAAGACTCGTTGTATCAAACGGATGAAAGAGTGGTGACGACTGATAAATCCTGTGCTTTTGAATTGGAAACATTTGTTAGGACAAACTTCGAAGGTCTTAGGATTATGTAAAGTAAATGCACTACAATATGTTCACAGTGGATTTCAACAAGTCCGATCATGAGTTCTCACCAGAATCGGACTTAGAAAGTGGAGAGCCGTCAACGCCTCTCAAGCGCGCCAGAACTTTGCAGGAAGGTAAGCATCTTCGGCGCAAAAGGAGTACTGAAACAAACATAGGTAATGTTTATTTTTTAATTTTTTTTTTGGTTAGTGCAAAAAGCGATATCTTTCGACACGGATATTAGAGCTACAATAATTGCTTTAATGTTGCAGAAAAAGATGATGGCGTATGCGAGCATTGTGGGAGTGGCGAACAACCAGAATGGATCTTATTATGCGACAAATGTGACGCTGGATACCACGCGTCCTGCCTAAAACCTGTACTCTTTCTTATACCTGAAGGAGACTGGTTTTGCCCGCCATGCAATCATGTAAATATTACTTAACCTAGGCTCTACTTTCTTTTACACAAGATTTAACAACATATACTTGTTCTTTATACATATATTGCATATCAAAAATATCTAGGTGTGTAAAACGGCATTCTGTAAACATTGCTTACCACTTTTAAAACGTTAATGAACTTGAACGAACGTTTTATCTAAATATTGCAATGAAGACTAGATGGCGCTACTCGTGTTATTAATCAAAACTCAAAAGTGTTTTTATATCATTCACGTTAATGATTTACAAATGCACATAACACACAGTTAGTATCCGATCGACTGTCGCATTTATTATATTAGCTTCAGTACTAACATAACTTAAAATTTGTCACGAGTGTAGTGGGCGTGACGGTTTGATATTTGATATATGTTTATATACTGTTAAAATCAGTTAGGGCGCGTTTCCATTATGTCGTCACGACAGATTCTCGTGCAGTTTATCATGTGGTTTGTATATTTAAATGAACTGTCGTTCACGACTTTTTTGACGTTACGACGACAGACTCATGACAATCGGAAGAGCTAGAACGACGGTCGCCTGACTACAAATAATACTTCACGATAAAAATGTGGCGACAGATAATCGCAGTTTCAAACGATTCTGTCGTGCAATCGACAAGGCGGGCGCCGTGAACCGATAAATTATCGTCACAATCTAGTGGGACAGCTAGACACGACAGTCGTTCAAGGATAAAATAAACGTCCACGATACGGTCACGACAGATAGTCGTGATATGGAAATAGACCCTACAGCCGTCCAACGACAAATAAAACGTTGCGACATAATGGGAACGCACCCTAAGCAGTGTATGGTTCGTTCGAGATTATTTTAATGACGATGTTGTTTCAGGAAATGCTTATAGCGTCTCTAGAGAGCGAGCTGGTTAAGTACGACGAACTGCTGAGCGTGGTGGAAAAGGAAAGAGAGCGCAAGAGACTCGAGGAGCCCCCGCCACCTGCAGCGGAAGACAAGAAAGAGGACAAATCTCATTCAGGTCAAAATTACTTAGTATTTACTGTATATTGTTTATAAATGAGAATTGAAAGCGACTGCGTAAATCATTGTCAATTTTTTGTGGCCAAATGTATAGCGTCGAAAGAAGAGTTAGAAAGCCGCTAGCTACAACAGACACTGTAAACTCACAATAGTAGCCCTCGACCATCGAGTATATAACCAGAAATAGAGACGAAATAAGGCATCCATTCCTGGCAACTCATCAGGAAAATGGGACTTATATCACTTTTAAATATCAACTCTCCTTTGCACTGAAATCACAAATTAGAAAGCTGATGAGTACAGCACCAACAACTGACCTGTGTCTACATCTCCGTATATTCCGAAGATATTATGTATAAGATCTCTAACTATGGGGGGCTGTTCCATTCGGGGTAAGGGAAAGACAGCAAAACACGTAATTACAAAACAAACGAAATGACATTTCATCAGTAATTAAATATTAAATATGTAATTTTTCAATTATCGTCCATTATAGCAAAGCTCAATTTAAAGTGGTCGATTTAATGTAAAACAATTGTTGACACCCGTCAATTGTTTCGAATTCGGACTGGCCAATCGGAGCGCAGTAATGATTGGGTAAAATACTTTTCAAACAAATTAAATGATATTTCGTCTCTATTTCTGGTTATACACTTGATGCCCTTGACTCATAAAGACATTGTTCATAATTTTGAATTAACAAAAAAAAAACACATAGGAGTCTATACAACCTCAAATGGCTTTGTTTGATTACGCATAACAGTGAAATTGTTGAATCAATTACTTTGTGAAAAATATATAGTGAAATTGAGGACATACTTTGATTACTATACGGTGTGAAAACACGGTTCCTAAAAATTTTCAGGGTAGACAAAAACACAAACTTACCTTGAAATTTTACATTTTTATATCACCTGAACTGAATAGAACATGTCGGCCCCTCCTACGTAAAGTATCGTATGTCGAAATTGTCAAGTTTACAGGGAAGCGTTTTAAAGTTCTCAATTCACTGCAATGAGCATAACACGTGACTTTAGCATTTCTCAGTTTTATTCGGCAAAGCTTGTTACTCGCATAGAGTATTGTTAAATCCTATATATCGGTTAGATGATCTACTAGATGATCACTCTGTCAGTAATGAGGTTTTGCCAAACAAAACGGAGAACTTTAAAACGCTCCCCTGTAAACTTGGCAATTTCGACATACGATACTTTACGTAGGAGGGGTCGATGTATGGTATACGATTGTGATATAAATTTTTCAAATGGTTTTAATATCGTTTGTAAAAAAAAACGGAAATAAAGCCAGTGGGACACTGACTGCCACTCGACCCAAACAAAATGAACCATGTTAATACGGGAAAAAATTAAATTCGAGCTGAGGTAGCATCGATTCTTAAAACATTAAAGTCTCTTTTTGTTCTGTTACTTTTTAATAACGTAAGACCGTGTAGATAGGAAGTATAAATGTCTAAATTTTGCAGTATGCTTTAAGGCTATCAGCGAAAAGTGATGTAACTCCATGAAATGTATTTAGAAGATTTTTTTTTGTAATATCAATTGACAGGTCGAACAAGTCTCTTACCTGGTGTTAGCTACACGCTTTAGAGCTTTAAATCACACTGCGCCTGTCACCCTGAGACATGAGTGAACAAGTCCTATGTGCCTGCAATTTCATGGAACTCTTTCACAAGGCGTGTTACTGCCACTATGTAATAATGATAATGCATTATTTAAATTTGCCAAATTTATTTTATATATAGCTATCATATATGAGAAATATATAATTATTACATTTTTTTAGACATGAAAATAGCATCCAAATTTAATAAAAGCTAAAAACCAAGATGCCTGTACAGAGTCGGGGTCGGGCAGCGGCAGCGCGTCGTGGTCGTCGTCGGAGGAGGAGGGCGCCGTGTACCGGCTGCGCGCGCGCCGCCAGCTGCCCGTCAGCTACCGCGCGCAGGAATACGACCGCCTCATCTCCTCCGCCATCAAGGTAGCCGACGTTCGAGTCCCGTGGCAGTGCTGGCCCTGCCGGGGACTCGTCCTAGTACCGAAGCTCGTATAACTAAACATTTGTGCTCAATATCGTGACCTTACCGACCGACGACTATCTCACTAGTGTCACAGTACAATTATTAACATATTATAAATATTAAGAAGAATAGCAATTTTTTTCAATAGTAATATTAATACGAGGGATTACAATCTCAGTACTCTGTACTCTCAGTGATAAAAGTTCGTGGAATTACATCTATTTGCCAAGTTTTATTGCATTCGGTTACCGGAAAGTGCGCGAAGCCGGTTTCATCCCCTAGTTTGCCACCTTTATTACGTGGAAAATTTTCTTTAAATTTAAATGGGGCCTGTACTAGGTACCCTCTTTCCAACAAAAAAAGAGTCGTCAAAATCGCTTCACAAGGAGTTATCACGAAACATACATACAGACGAATTTAGAACCTCCTCCTTTTTTGAAATCGGTTAAAAAGTTCCAATATGTTACACCGTTAGCTACAAAAAGTAAAAAATCAGGGTGGAAAACCCAATTATAGTTAAAATATGAATTAATTTATTTATTTATTGTGTAGGAAAGCTAACATGATGCATATACAACAATTGAAATGTACAATACTTAACAAAGTTTAAATGTATACACCATTAATGGCTAACACAGCAAACTATACACTTTGATTTTATGGACTTTCTTCTTACTTCTTTTTATTTTATTCATTATTCTCAGAGGGGTCTGCCTAGTACCGTCCACTAACTAAAACGCGGCTATAATATCCGTTTTAAATATAATAAGCACAATAATCTCTATTTAAAAACAGTTAACTCTAATGATGCACAACTAAGATTATTATCATTAAACAATATCAATATTCTAAAACTTCGTAATGGCTTTTATGATATCTCAAAAAAGAAATTGGCACATGACACGTTTTAAAGCACGGCAGCAATTTGACGATTTCAAGTGTAATTTGCGTTTATGAAATAAAGATATATAGAAATTTCAATTATAAATACAGGAAGAAAACTACGACCAAGAGATTTAGTCCTACGTGTTTATGAATAATGCACTAATATTGTTTCAGGAGGAATATGTTGAACCGACATCCAGCGCAGGTAATCAAGGCCGCGGGAAAGATATCTCAACCATCATAGAAGCAGCCGAGGAGGAGAAGCTAAAGGCCGAGAGAGAGGCTCTTGAACAGGTAATCTTTTATTATGAAAATGGTTCACATTGTTGCTCGTTAGCTACAAATAGAAATTTAGAAAAAATTCTATTACAGTTAAAGTATGAACTTTCAAACTTACAGGTAAAATACCTTACGTTTTTTTTTAATTTATTTTGGCGCAGTTACAAGATACAAATTATATAATACAAGTAAAACTATGACACTAAACAAAAACAAACATATTTGTTGGTCAATAACAATCGCGCACAACATGCAAATTAAATTTTGCAACTTTATGAATATGGCTAACTAAGTCAATAGAAAATGGTCAATAGAAAATGTGTATATTTTTTAATAAAATTACTTCACTCTCAGATGAATTCACGTGCTTCCGTACAGTTCGGGGTTTTTTATAATTTTTACAAATGTGTCGGTGTTCTGGTGGAATATATCAAGATCTTTACATAAAACATTATACTGCCTGCATAAACGTATGAGCGGGCTACGTGACACATTATTTTTAGCACAAGGCACTTAGTGTCTTAGAAGATGGAAGTAATATACCAGAAATACACTTAGTACCTGATCTCAAATCCGAGAATTCTTTGTACAATGAAAATCAAATTAACCTTGAGTACTGCCAAGAACACCCAGACCAGAACCAATTTAGAAAATTTCGTTTCCCAATGGTCCTGTCGGGAATCGAACCCGTGACCTTCTCATATAACGCCGGCAGTCCTAACCGCTGGTTCATCGAGGCATTTTGTGCCTATACAGTTTAGAACACTTTTTCTTATAAGGATGACACTGAATCGCATTAAAACGTTGGAGTCCTTTTCGTTCTTATAGCACGGACATAAAAGCTTTTTCTGCGTTGATAAGTGGTGATTCCCGGACACGCTCTCACTAATAAAGTAACATAATTGTTACAGCATTCAACCGTTCTTTTTTCAAATTCTTTTATGCTATTTTTGCAAATCAGAAGAACTCTTATGACGTCACAAAAGATCCAGGAAGTCTACCGCGGAATACGAGTCCACGTGACTGCGTCCGCAACGAAGCTTATTCGTACTACATACATATATCAGTTTTACGTTGAAAGTAATGTCAAAATTCGATATGAAAGCTGTCATTTGACATTTCGGAATAAGGACATAATGTCAAATCAATATCTTCGTACGCGATGATCGTTGCTCTATATTTCGTGGTATACCACCTGTTCTCAGACTTGGTATACTTCACAAGTTATGTCGTGAATGTTTTACAAGTGTATCTACCGAATTATTTACCTCCTAAACTAGACTCGCAATTGTTACCCGTAAGCCGTTAGCAACATGTAACCACTGATGTTATTTCAGGGCCAACCGGTAGAGAAGCGCGCGAAGAAAAAGCAGCGACGGAAACCACGCAAGCTCAACTCGCTGGAGGTGCCTTCGGAGGACGACGACGAGACCGATGAGGACTTCAAGGACACTGGGTAAGAGAAATCATAAATGTGTCACACGAATGCACCAATGGACGTTAGTCCAGCTCTTCTGCTCTCTTTGTAATAATAAACACATTTGCATATCGGTAACTTTTGAGATCTTGTCGCCTAAAGTGTTATTGTCACTTAAAAACATGTCAATGAAAATGTCAAAAGAAGCAATCTTGGCACATGGCCAAACTTGGCCCTGCGTAACACGCATTTACACTTCATCTGTATTCGGAGCTTTGAACAGAACATCTGCTCAAGCTTGGTACACGTTACTGATCAATTAGTCTGATTCTTTTCAAGGCGAGGTATGTCAACGTGAACGTAGAATTTAGGGGAGGGGGGCTCACGTCTCGCAATTCACGCGCTATACATATATTAATATGAATAAAATAAGAACAGGCGAAGAAAATTTGACACGGATCCGACGCCAACAAGCGCCCGATGGCGACTGACTTTTTTGACTTATACCCCTTTTCACTAGAGCCACAGAATTGGCTCCCGGTTCAGTACCCTACTGATCTTACTGGGAATTACGTTGACACCTCCTTATCAGACTCTTCGGGATGCTCGATTAAATTAAAATTAATTTGTTTAAATGTTTAGCCTGGAGTCGACGTCGGAGGAGATTTCGTCATCTGCGGAGCGCGATAGCTCTCCTGGATCGGCTTCGTCCGACGACCTGCCCATCCGTCGCGCGGCCAGGCCCAGCCGGCCCCACCACAAAGGTACCTTGTTCTGGCCCCCAGTAACGTCCTTCTGGCAAACTCTTTAAACGTCTCAATATTCCCGAGATTGAAAACATCAGTCTCGAATCTGGAAATGCCAAAAAATCGTCGAGACTCGCAAAATTTTCGAGAACCCGGAAGTATGATGCGGAAATCATAGCCAATATTACTTAATTCTGAACCACAAACAAAATTTGTAATATTAAGAGTTTTGACCTGAATTGGACGAAATTAGCAGACTCCTGCAAACTTTAGTAGCTACTTGCTATGTTTGTGACACATTGGTATTTTAATTCTTGGTAATTTTAAGTATTTCAGGTCATCCACAATCTAGTTGAGACGTGCACATTAAAGTTAAAAAGGAACTATATACATTCTTGTTTTATTGTGACTAATTTTGCAGAACGATCAAAACTAACAGAATCCTCGCCCGAGGTGAAGAAGAAAAAGAAAGGAGTGATAGACAGCTCAAGCGAATCTGGAGAGAAAAAAGAATGGGCCAAGAAAAAGTGAGTTTCAAAGTTCTTTATAATAAATACTACATGTCAACGATAAACTATAAAGTCATTCATGTCTTGGAATGAATTGAGCCACAAATGTTTTTTTATTTGGTTTTTATTTTTCATTAATGATAATTTCTCAAATAACGTTCATAATCATCATTAATTTAGCTCTAAGTAGAGGATGAAGGCCGCAGACGAGCCTAATGTGAGTTAGGGATTTCAAACGTTTACGTTTATCGTTGACGAGAGGTATTGATACTAAACAGTCACAAATGTACGTAGTTTAGAATTTAAGTCATAGGTACATGCTGCCACAGGGATTCGAACCGTCGGCCTCTCAATTGAGAAGCAACTATTCTCCCAAAAGGCTACCACCGCTCTTTTTATGTTGTTCAGCATGCATAGAAACCAGAAACAAACAACATCAGAGACCACTACGTTTATAAGTAACAGTGGAATAGTATAGAAACCATTTATTACAACGCCACAACACAAGAAAGCCTAATAATAATAAAGACAAAACAACAGTAGTAGCAGTAGCGCTCCTTGTGAAAGAGTTCGTCCAGGGAAGTACTGCCACTTTACGTATTTCTGCCGCCAAGCAATAACATGAACATTACTGCGTTCCGGTTTGGAAGGGTAAAGGTGCTGGTGACATTACAGGCACATGGAACTTGTCAGCTATGTGTCAGGGTGACGAGCGCAGTAGCAGTGCCCCTAAGCTCTTAGTAATTTAAAGCCCTGAGTGGCACTGCAACTGTTATGGACAGGCGTGTCGCTCACCACCAGGCGCACGACTTGTTCGTCCTGTCACTTAGTATTATAAAAATTAAAAGAAAAACCGTTTTTCTTTCAGATCAAAATCGAAATCGAAGAAGCATGACAAATCACCAACCAAGAAACCACGCAGAAAGGGCGGCCTTACACAATACGACGCGGAAGGCAACGTCATACGAGCCCGAGTCACGTACGGAGGACTGAGTGGCGATGAGGGACTCAACGATTGGTCGCCCAAGCACCGGACGCGGCAGAAGAAAATTAATTACACGGAAATTCCTAACACCGAGTCTGAAGATGTAAGTGCAACTTATACCTATAAAGCGCCGCGTAACGTGGACACTTTAGTGTCTTACTTCTCGCCCTCAAATTAGAAGCTTGTAGTAGTAATATAGCTCCTTATGATAGAGTTCGTCCAGATAAATACTGCCACTCTACCTATTTCTGACGCCAAGCAGTAATATGTGGGCATTACTGTGTTCCGGTTTTGAAGGGTAAAGGTGCTGGTGGAATTACAGGCACAGGAGATTTGTCAACTTATGGCTCAGGGTGATGTGGGCAGCGGCAGTCTCCCTGTTCTTTGCGATTTAAAGCTCTGAATGGCACTGCAAATGTTATTACAGGCGTGTCGCTTACTACCAGGCGCACGACTTGTTCGTTCTGTCATTTTATATCATAAAAATATTTTTTTAGAAGTGCTGTTTACGGTAAAACAAAACATTACATTCAGTTGTGGAGTATAATATGTAACTTACTACGTATCAAATTCACAGGAGATGCACAAATCTAGCGGCAAACACATGCCAGACAGCTCAGACGAGTTTCATGTCGACGATTCGGACCTCACTTCAGATTCCGATTCAGACCGGATCAAGAGAAAGAAGGAGGCCGAATCCGAAGAACAGTCTGAAGAACGGAGAAAGGCACTCAATGACCTCATTAAGAAAACTGCTGTGGTGCCTCTTGAAAAATTACCTGATGACGTAACTAAGGCGAAGACCGAAGAGCTACAGGCACACCTTGGTGAGTTTATTTTCTATTTTTAACAATACAAACACTCTATTACATACTTACCGGGGCTGCGTCGTTGGATCGGAAGTGCCTACCGCTGAGTGTATCGCCGACAGTGCAAGCGCTCAGACAAGTCCTTTTACAACCTCAGCATTCGGTTCCGCACGACTGCACTTGGCGGGCAACGTTATTTTCACCTCGCTGAGCGCGTGCTTAGGTTCCTTTTGCCTCGTAATGAGCGCCTGGTGTCATTAGTCAGATTTAGTAGGCTATTATAGCGTAGGTATTTTCGATTTTCTATAACAGTGATGTGTCTATTACGTAGTAACTGTTAAGTAATCTATGAGCTTACTCTGTAAAACATAGTTTAATTTGTTTGTTTTTATTATTTCTTTTCACCTCGTTTGTCGCGTTAAACTTTTACGTTGATAAAATTACTGTGCAGAACTGTCAAAATGTTTTAAAATCAGCTGTGACCTCGCACCCATGTTTGGCACTGTGTTAATCTTTTGCAGTCATTGGACGCGGCGCAAGCGACGACATAAAACTGTGACGTCACGGCGCTGGCCATGTTAGCTATTGTGATATTTGTATTATTTATCACTCTAATTTGAGAGCCAAATGTGGATATAATACTCGACTATCGAGGCGGTATACTACGGGGGCTGAACGATGTAAATTTGTAGCAGATAGATAGATAAATTGTCTTTATTCAGTGTTTTACATCACAGCATTACGTATAACAAGAAAAGGACGGTTACAATCAATAATGCACTGAAACGGTTTCGGCTCAGCACAATGCTGCCAACTTATTCTGCCGACACAAAAATAGTTGCGCAAGCTAGCTGGGCGCGGTAACGAACAGTAGGCGGCAAATCAAGTGCAACTGTTGCACTACAAATCCGCTACTATTACAGATATTGTGCTGCGAAGTTATACATATATTACTATTATTATTGTACTGTATATATAATATATAATATTATTATATATTATGTATACAGGTACTTTCTGGCGAGTCAAAACTGTTATGAGCTAATATTGAATGTGAATGTAACGTCAGTTGGGAGAGTGAGCTATAGGAAAACGTCATGTATTTTGTTTTATCAGTGTTAAGGGTCAGTCAGTTTTTTCTAAGCCATTTATTGTCAAATATATACATATGTACTGGATCTCCTTACGGCTTCGAACATTTTTGCCTTTAATTAAACATTTAAAAGTATACACTCCCATGCCGTTAGACATTACTTGCTATCCCATGTGTTTTTTTTTTTATTGTGACTCGGCAAAATGACTGCACCGCGCCTGATGGAAAGTGCGAATACAGTCCAGAGATGAGAGTAACGGATGGAAAACACAAATATCTTCACTCCGTCACTATCATTTTGCCGGTCTGGCCAAATGCTTCTTCACACTACGTTTGAAGGACCCGATGTTATAGAGGGGAGGGAATACATGCGCCGGGAGTTGGTTCCACAATTTGATGGTTCGGCATAAGAACGAATTGCCAAACTTTTTAGTGCGGGACGGTATTGAACTGACCGTCCAACTGTGGCAACGCAGTCCGGCACGGGTGGTCCGCTGATGGAAAGGAGAGGAAGGGATAAGGTTGAATAACTCTTCAGAGCACTCACCGTGGTACAGGCGATAGAATACGCTAAGAGACGCTATATCTCTGCGAAGCTGTAACGACTCCGCAGTTACATGAGGATTGTTGACAACACGGAAGGCGTAGCGCTGCAGTCCATCTAGGGCATCGAGCAAGTACTTGGCAGAGCCGTCCCAAAGGTGCGAACAGTACTCCATGCTGCTTCGGACCTGAGCTTTATACAACAGGTACGCAGCTCTGGAGTAAAAAATCGGTGCACCTTGTTCAGGATGCCAAGCTTGCGCGACGCGGTACAGATGACGCTCTCTATATAGTCCTTGTTGCTCATGTCCTTCCGGATGCTCATCCCCAGCAGGCTGAGCTTGTCCTGCAGCGTCAGCGTTGTACCCTGAAGATGGGGAAGTGGAAGGAATGGGGATTTTTTGGAACTGAACGCGCATACCTGGGTTTTCTTGGCGTTGAACTCAACCAAGTTTCGGGAGCCCCACGACGATATATGTTCCAAAACATGGTTGAGCTCAGCGACAAGTTTTTCCCGGTTTCTCTCAGGGTCCTCCCGGCTGCTTGACGGTTGCTTATAATAGCAACCGTGCACTGTGCTATCATCTGCATAGCAATGAATGTTGCCAAAAGGCAACAAGTCATTGATATGCAGAAGGAACAGCGTGGGCGACAGCACGGAGCCCTGTGGCACCCCAGCATTAACTGTCACGAGCCGCGAAGTGCCTCCGTCAACAAGGACACGCAATCTTCGCTCGCACAGAAAGCCGGAGATCCACTCACAAAGGCGGCCGGGAAGACCATATGCCGGAAGCTTGGAGAGGAGACCACGGTGCCAGACCCGATCAAAGGCCTTAGCAATATCCAGACTTATCGCTAAGGTTTCGCCCTGTTTGTCGATAGCTTCACCCCAGAGATGCATTAGATACGCTAGAACGTCACCCGTTGATCGGTTCGGCCGAAACCCGTACTGTCGATCATTAAGAATGGAGTGACGTTCCAGGTGCCGGATTATCTGGATATTTAGAATCCGCTCCATCACTTTGCAGAGCACTGAAGTGACAGCTATTGGGCGATAGTTTGTCGGATCAGACCGATCTCCTTTCTTGGGGATAGGTTGCACGTTGGCCTCCCTCCAAGCTAGGGGCACGTTACCAGATTGGTATGAGAGGCGGTATAAGCGCGTCAGTACGGGAGACAACTCCGCCGCACACCTTTTAAGGACGATAGGAGGTATCCCATCTGGACCATAGGCTTTCCGCACGTCAAGAGTCTGCAGTTCCTTGCGGACATCACATTGCCTGATAACTATATCAGGCATTGTGACTCCGCAATGGGGAATTGACGGCGGTTGCGCATCTTGGTCGTGAATGCGCGAGTTAGCCCCAAAAAGGTCGGCCAATAAATTGGCTTTCTCTTCGGGGCCATAGGCCAAAAATCCATTGGGATACCTCAAAGGCGGCAGCGACGAACGACAAAAATTGGACTGCACGGCTTTGGCCAGGCTCCAGTAGGCACGGCTACCGGTGGGATGGGCTACCAGCTTCTGGCCAATCCGTGAAACGCGCTGGGCATCCGCTCTTATGTAAGCCCTCCTGCAAGACTTGGTTGCTTTGTTATAGGCTGCTTTAAGGGACGCAAGGTAGGGATCCTTTGTTACACGACCCTTGATCCAACCACGATATGCAGCCTGTTTCTCACTAACAGCGTCCATGCATTCGAGATTGAACCAAGGGCGTCCTCTGCGATTGGCGATGACACTGGAAGACGGTATGTAGTAATTCATAGCCGTTCCAATCTCATCGACAACAGCATCGGCAGCTGCTGAGGCATCCTTTCCCGCAAAGCAGTGCTGCAACCAAGGGATGGACGCAAAGTAGTCGCGCATACCATCCCAATCCGCCGACGAGTAGTGCCAAATGCGACGAGTGACCTCCTTCAGCTTAGTTGGAGGCATTTGGGAAACCTTACACCCAACCAAACAGTGATCAGAACTTCCCAGGGGGGCGCTGACTGATACTGTATAGTAGGTAGGGTGACTCGCGAGCAGAAGGTCAAGCAAAGAGGGTGCATGATCCGATATGTCTGGAACCCGGGTGGGCTGGGTTACCAGTTGGGTCAAGTCATGCGTGAGAGCGAAAGCGTGGGCAGTTCTTCCTGCATGGTCAGTCTTGAGGGAACTTAACCATGATTCATGGTGAGCATTAAAGTCCCCCAACACGACCATCTCCGCAGATGGGAACTGCGCCTGCGCGTCAAGAGTCGCCTGGCTCAGTTGGTCAAAGAGCCTAGTTGTCTCCGCATCCCCGCTGTGGGATCTATATAAGCACGCGAAGACTCTAGCTGAATAACTAGATTCTACGAGCACCCACATAGTGGAAAAGGAGGGGTCCTCCAGGCAGCGCAGACGGCGACAGCACACATCCGAACGAATATATACACATACCCCGGCTTTGGCCTGAAAGTTTTCCTCAAGCGAGTAGCCGGGGTAGTTCAAGTAACTCATATCATTCGTACGGCGAATCTGCGTCTCCGTCAGGAAAAGCAGGGCAGGCCGGGCTGTCTCGAGGTGATGGTGGACAGCTTTGAGGTTGGAGTGGAGTCCGCGGATGTTAGCGAACTCAATAATAAACGCGGTGGGGGGATTAGGCACCGCTGAACGATCTGCATTCTTATGTTGCGCTGTCATGGTGGGTAAGAAGGACGGTAGTGTGAAGAGATGAAGCCTTCGGCACTGCACCGAAGAAGAAAAACGAGGGGAACTGCAATACATGCCGTTGATCTTTTGAAGGATAGCCGGCTGTCCCGCCGAACGGAAGGGCCCCCGTACCCCCCTGGGATATGCCGCCGGGACCCCAAATTCCGGTCACTAACCGGCACGACGACCTACCCCAAGATTATGCGCGGCATGGTGGGGCAGCCTCTAGGGGTAGTTAGTCCCTATTGGGCCCCTGTACTGTACAACCGTTTCTACGGGTCTCCCTGGCCGGCAGGTCAACTAGATATCCCTCAACAAGTGACGATAATTGCCACTGGGTTATAACAAGACGACTCGCGCGAATGTGTGCGGAGAAAGAACTTCTAACTACCTGGTTCCCCGACTAATAAACAAGTTACCACTTAATACTAAACTTGTAATAGTAGTAGTGAATTTTTTTTTTTTTTTTTTTTTTTTTTTTTATTGCGACTCGACAAAATGACTGCACCGCGCCTGATGGAAAGTGCGAATACAGTCCAGAGATGAGAGTAACGGATGGAAAACACGAATATCTTCACTCCGTCACTATCATTTTGCCGGTCTGGCCAAATGCACTGGATGTACACCAACTGATCCCTGAACGCGATTCGCAAAAGCGTTTCACTGTGGAGGGTTTTCCGCCGTGTGTACTGTGGTCGCTATCCAGTCGGCACAGAGCCTACCACAATGCTAAGCAGATGGACACTTGTGACGCCCTCGGTCGCCTCTTACGACCCCCACGGGCATGTATGGGGAGGCGACAATGTATTCTTAAGCCGTCGCCCCACGGCTAATAAATAACGCACACACTCATTGCTCCACACTATTATAAATAGAAACTGTTTACTAGGGAACCCCGCGTCGCGGGTGCCATGGTCACACACATAGACAACCACAAATGACACCCAAACTCGCGAGAAAAATAAATATATAGGTCCGGTAATCGAACCTGGGACCCCTGCGTAGCATACCGGCATGGTAACCGTTCGGCCACGAAGACAGTTAAAGATTATTTTGTAAACAACTTGAAAAAATTGCAATGTTGATTGTTTATCAATGTCCCAATATCATTTCAGTAACATCTTTTTGATTAATGATAGATTATATTACTTCTATATTATATATATTGCGACAGAACAATTGTTGTGTATTATGTTTTATATGGTAAATAAATGAAAAAAAGAAACTCACTTGTCTGGTTCAGATG